AAGCTATGGAAGACAAAAATAGGCCAAAGAATCAGCTCATGGTTTTCTTAAGGTGAAAATAGTACAAATGATTGCTTTCTGTCTTTGATTTTTCTGTATTTTTCTAATGCACAATGAACATATATTACTTCTGTAATCAGAAAACCACCCTAATAAATGTCACTTTGAAAACAAAGAAGGGAATATAATTTTTTCACCATATGAGGTTTGGCCTCGAGATCCTTGAAGTCAGCCTCCTTCACCCCAGACATGGTTTGGTAATAGTCCAGGTTCTGACGCATCTCCACGTGCTCTGGGTTGCCCACAAAGAAGGTATGTGCAGCTGCTACAGCTTTCTCCAACTTGTGGATCTGGGAACGAAGCACAAGAACGTACCTTTCACACCCGAGCTCTGAAGGTTGGTTGAGGATTCAGCCAAACAGACTTGGAAGTGGTGTCCAAAGGTGCAGGCCACGGTGAACAGGCAATGTCAGCTTTCCTGAGCCTGTCTGTGTGCCGTGGCTTAGCCTGCCACTCACCCATGTACCCAGCTCCTGCCAGGCCCAAACATACTGATCATAGGGACTACAGAACAGAAGCTAGGAACACAGATTTTCAGCTATTTCCCAAAAAAGGCTTGGGAGTCTCCAAATTACAGGGCATAATAGCTCAGCAGTATACACGCCCCATTTTAAAACAAAGGTCACACTGTAGAGAACATGATGGAAGACTAACTGTTTGAATAGTATGTTTCAAGACTGGGCTGAAGAAAGTCTGACACTTCAAATATTTAGGGGCAGGGTAGAAAGAACAGTTAACAAACTGTACCTAAGAAATATCCTAGAAAATAGTTATTATTATTTTTTAACATCAAATCAAGTGTTTTTTACATGTTCAGGAAAAAGATAGGTGACTGAGAAATTCTAAGGTCCTCTAGAAAATCTAGATATAGCATCTTCTGACTTAAAGCCCCATGAGGTTAAAACAAGTGGCTCTATACAATCTGAGAGAAAAAAATGTGCTACAGGTTATAATAATGCCCATAGCAATAGATTTCCATACAGCAAAGTAAGTAACATAAGTTCATATATAGAACCCCAAATAAATCACTTATGATCTAGTGCTTACCCACATGGGCTTTGGTGCCAGACAGACTGGTGACAACTCTAGGTTTTACTACTCACTTGCTGGGAGTTTTAGACAAGTTATTTAAAGTTACTCTCTAAACTCAGTTCCCTTATTTGTCATATGGAGATAGCACTATCTACCTGATAGGATTGTTGGGAGAGTGAAATGAGATACAGATACATCTTTTAACACATGGTGCTGGACACGTATTAAGTACTCAATAAATGTTAGATAGTATGGTTGTTGTTGTTATGTGCTGTCGAGTCAGCCCTGACTCATAGCGACCCCTCGTTGGGTTTCCGAGGCAGTATCTCTACGGAAGTAGGATTGCCCAACCTTCCTTCCGAGGAGTGG